CCCTACATAGTAGGTACCTGGAGGGCCTCAAAAGCAATCTAGATCTCTCCGTTTTAAAGGGAAAGAGGACCTGCAGCTAAGAACCTCAGTCCAACAGCAACAACGACGATGCCTCTCTGACATGCTAAGTCCTACCCTCGTGACATGAACTCCGGCCCCTAAGCCCCAGAGGCTTCTGAACTTCAAAAGGATCCTAAACTGGCCCTGAACCCCCCCCCAAAAAAAAAAAAAAAACCTTAATCCCTAACTCTGAACCCAAAAGCCGGGCCCTAAAACCCGTAAGACTCTAAAGCCCTAGATCCAAAATCCTGACTCCGGAGTGTACCACACTACACTACACTATACTATGCTCTCCCGTACTTCCCTAAAGTGCCCAAGCGTCCCCGGATCGATACCAGCGGCCACGCGGAGCGTGGTGTGCCGAGCCCGGAGATCTGTCTTGTAAGGCTGCTGCTTCAGCCTGAACAATATTGCGACCATTACTCCCTATGGATTCCTAGTATTAGTATTAGGTACTGAGGATCGGGTCCAGGGTCTTTCTGGCTCTGATGTTGCCTGGTCTGGGCTGGAGGCTTCCAAGTCTGTGACTTTCTTAGCTGTGTTTCGAATCTCACCTCTGCAAAGTCTTGCCGCGCATGTGTTTCCCAAGTCTGTCGGAAGTGTCTCGGGTTCGCAGCCCCTCGCACTGGGGTTCTGGAGCATGCAGTCCTCCAAAACGGTGAACCCTAATGCCCTGAGTCCCCACAGTAAGCTTCGAATATTTGGGATCTAAGTCAGAGCCGGCCTCTCGGACGTTGCGGCTTGTTCCGGGGTCGGGCCCGAGGCTTTAGCCACAGAGTTTAGATAGCGGATTAGCTACCAAGCCGATATGAGATGTACCATCTGCAGAGAAACCGGGCAAGCACCAGCTTCGTAACTTGGCCCAACAGCCTCAAGCAAACGACTTTCTGGGGTGCACAAACCCCCAGCTTCTGCATCCTCACTACCCTTCGGACGACATCCCCAAGATTCCGGATCCTCTGCCGACAACCCACCGACTCAGACCGACAGCCCCACCACCGCAAGCAACTTTATAAAACCCCGAACTCCATAAACCATCCTTCTTGTTGAAAGCAATTAGTTCTGAACATCGGCTTCATCGTCCTACTCCACATGATGAATACTGACAGATATGATATCATGGAATGTGGCACCTCTTCCTTAGCCAAGTGGCTCCCAGGCCACACGCGCGTGGGTATCTACGACATCCATGAGCTGCGTGACTCCCCGCAGGTGCTCTTGCCGCACATTATGCAGAGAGGGCCGCTTTCCTGGGATTGATTGAGGCTCTGGGGCTTGGGATTTAAGAGGGTTGCCTGGGGTTTAGGGAGGTATGGAGTCTCGGGCTTAAGTGGGCTGAGGGTTTCTGCACACGGCCTTCAAACCGAATCGCCCCCGGACTTGTGCGACAGTCAGCGACAGTTTGAGCACGCTCTTCCAGCCCGACCCTAAATCCCTGAAGTTTGCGAGATAGACCCCTAGGAAAGGTCGAATACTGTATACATATATATATATATATACTATTATATATATATATAGATATAATACTATTATAATGCATTATTATTGTTATTATGATTATTACGAGTATTATTGCGATTAGTCTTGTCATTATTATTGTCAGCACATATGTATACACGTAGACATGCAATAATTGCACGCCGAGATGCTCACAAAGTCCCGCTCAGGTCTCGAGGCGGCCATGGTGGCAGGCGTGGAGCTGCGGCTATACGTGATCACTCCACCCTTAATGTCCATGATGTCCTCCCAGGCTTCGGAAATTTAGGATTTGTGGGTTTGGAGGCGTGGGGCGTTTTCAGGTCTAGGTGGGCATAAATCGCTTGGGCAGCGAATCCCATTTGCATGATGTCCTCCTTGGCCTTGAGCTCAGCCTCCACCTGCCAGCGTGCAGCCACGATGTCGTCTTCCGGTGGCGCAGGCTCCTCCACTCAATCTTGAATCAGGGCTGGTCGAGTCTATGTCTATGTCGGGTTATAGTCGCTTGTATGGGCGATCGTGGTGCGGCTGCCTACCTTTAACATTATCATCTCTCGCTCTTCACATATATATATACACAGTAACATATACGCATGTTATAGAATTACATATGCTTGTGTGCACATACATATATTAATGTGTATATATCTACATGTATATCTATATCTATATCTATATCTATATCTTTATCTACATCTACATCTATAGATAGATAGATCGATAGATGTCTTTCTCAGGTTCGTAGTCATGCTACTATCGTTGCGGTTTCATGGCCATTGGAAACACTCAACAGTGCAAAGCACTATCCTGGTTCTATGCCACATTGCCTCTCACAAGCCATGCCAGGAAGTGTGTCTAAGCACAACACCACGCATCAAGCTACAGCAGTGCCTGTGTCCAGTTGCCGTGCATGCACTCGTCTTGGTGTCGCTTTACATGCTTCAGGGTCCTTCCACAACCGGCAGACCCTAAACCCTAAAACCTCAGTAGACCCTTCCTGGACCGTGCTGAAGACCCCAGTAGACCCCCCTAAACCTGAAACCCTCAAGCCTAAGCCCTCAACCTTCAAAAAACTAAACCCTTAAACCCGAAATCCTAAACCCAAAGCCCTAAGCCCTAAACCCTCTACCTTAAACCCAAAACCCGCAACCCTAAAACCTAAACCCTCTGCTCCTCGGGAGCTGGATCTGGCACGGGAGGCATCTCCCGAAGCATCCTCGACTTCGTAACCTGTCACAGGGGTTTAGGGTTCAAGGTTCAAGGTTTAGAGGTACCTGGCACAGTGGTTTAGGGTTTAAGGTTTAGTGGTTTAGAGGTTTAGAGGTTTAGAGGTTTAGGGGTTTAGAGGTTTAGGGGCCATAGACCTTAGATGGCTCAGAAATCTTAGGGGGTTTAGGGATCTCAGACTGTCGGGTTCCAAAATTGCCTCAGGGCTATGGGATCCAGGATCTTCGATTGTTAAGGCAGGTTCGTGATTCAGGGGTCTCATGGGTTTTTTGGGGTGTTCATAAAAAAAAACCCGAAACCCCTAAACTCCTAGGCCCTAAACCATATAGTAATGAGGGTTAAAGTTTAAGGAGCTTCGATTTAGGCTTCCGCAGGCTCGGCACGGTTTGGTGGTATACTGTATGTAGGTGTTCGATGCGGAGATCACATGAATGAAACGACAGACCACTGACAAAGACATAGCAACCCTGAATAACTAGCCCTGAAACCGCTTACGCTACTTGCGAGCCCAAACAGCTGTTTCTTCTGAATACCCTCACTCGGCTGCAAGTTGAATAGTTCGCTAGCAAGGCCCTTGAATTCATGCAGTCTCCAAACACACCCGGAAAAGCTGCAGGCCTCGAAAGCCGTCACCTGAGGCGGCCGGGCTTCGATCGCAGGATACTCGGAAATGCCTCCGAGAGATCTGAAACTGGGTGTAGGGTTTTAGGGTTTAGGGGTTCAGGGGTTTAATTAGGGTGTAGGGNNTTGGGGGGTTTAGAGGGTTTAGGGCTCGGGAAGATTCAGGGTTCAGTGGCTTCAGGTTCTTTGCGCGGGGTTCATGTGGCCGCCCTGGTTTTTTTAAGTAAACGACGCTCTTCATCACGAAGTTCCCAAGCCTACTTCAAGACACGGCGACTGACTGCTTGGGGGGTCCTCTCTATCGTGGCTAATTACTCGTGCACACCTTCACATCATTTTACCTAGGGATCAGGATGTATATCTATGCCAACATGTTGAAGTGTTGGGAGAAGGGTTTGCGGTTGAGCGGCCTGCAGGGTTACCTGGTCTTTGCTTCAGACATATCATGTTGAAGCAAATCTTGCTAGAGGTTCCAACTTATCCTGAAATCGGTTAGGCCTCTTCACCCTTCGCCCTGTAGGATACCGGGCGACAATTACGTCTGGCCGCGGCAGTGGACAGCCGCCAGCCGTGTGCATTCTATTCCCTGAGTCTTGAAACATCCAGACTCTAACCTGAACCGCCAAACCCCCAGATCCCCAAACCCAAGCCTCAAAACNNCCCCCCCACCCCCCCAAAAAAAAGAACAAAAACACACATTCCCTCCAAAAGCGAGGCAAAAAGCTGCGCGGCCACAGAATCTCAAAACCGACACCTTCCAGAGGCCCCAACAAACCCTCCCTGCCCTCCCCTTAAATTTAGGGTTGTTTAGGGTTTCCCTCCAACTCCGAAACCAAAACAAATCTCCGACCTGGGTAGACCAGCTCGGGAAGCTGCGTCTCTTGCTTGGCATCTTTGCCTCGCCGACGGAGGGGGAGTTGAGGGTTTTGGAGGTTTGGAGTTTAGGCTTTCAGGGTTTGGCTGTGTTAGAAAGCTAGGGGATCTTTGCGACTGACTTAGGGTTTCCCTGACAGTTCTGGGAATAAAGTCCTGAGATTTTTCCTTGATCAGCTTCTCGGCCCTAGAGGCGAGAAAACAGTTGACCTCCCAAACAACCTGATCAAGTTCTTTAACCTTCCGAACAAAATGCGGAGAGTAATATTCAGGAAACTGTTTTACAGGTATGTCTATTTTGTGTAGATAAATACAGAAACAGATGCAGATATAGATATATGTACGGATGTAGATGTAGATATACATATGCAGCTGCTTTTACCTAGGGAACCCTGGGGCGGCCGTTCTTTAGTGTAGGTCGAAATCCGTAGGGATCTGTTAAGGTCTTTAGATATGTACGGTTCAAGTTGGGTGTCTACGCTTTTTGTTGGGGTAGTGACTTGTCCAAGCTCCACATGATGGTGATTGTGAATGCTGCTGATGCTCCCGCCTTTTCTCGAAGCCCCAAAGCTCGATCGATCAGTGGCCTTCGAACCACACTTGGTGACACTGAATTAAGTATCTCTGGAGGGCCGACTCGACAATCTTGCGAGTGCCCACTCGCCTGGATGTCCTCGATACCTTGCCAACGAAATCTTCATCTTGCGGAGTTGCTTCTATGATGGGGTTGAGAATCCAGGAGATCCTCCTGGACTGCTCATGCATGCTATAGAAGGTGTGAAATAGCATGTGCAGCTTCGGGAATAGTGGGTACCGTGGTTCGTTCCGGTTGTAGTGAATCCCGGCCAGCCGCACATAGGCTCGCAAGAAATACAGGCCCAGGTCCGAAATCCGGCTTGCTTCCGATGCACTCATCCAGACATCGGAGTTATAAAGGGCAGACATCGCACGATTCAGTGTTTTCGCAGCCGCTGCCTCTTTGCATCTGCTGCAGCATAAAAGAAAAACAGCACAAGGCCTCAACAACTACATAAAGGGATTACCGTGAGGCAGCCGAGAATCAACTAGTTCCGAAACTTGCACACCAGAAACGAGATCCTGCCGTGTCGAAGTCAGATGTTCAACATAACGGCACATGACAGTGGTAGTCGATCCTTTGTGCCAATGGCCGTCCGGCATCTCGTTTGAACTATGACACCCAAGGGTATCTTTGGAGATCTTTTGTATGTACGGCATTTGCTTCGTGTCCTGACTTGTATGGGCTGAGTCTATATCAGGAGGAACGGTTTAAATTTAATCCACACTATCGTCATGAACTCGAAAAGTCTTATAACGACATTGCCCCAAGGATCCTTGCAGTACTGCAGAAAATCTGTCGTCATGGCTTGTAATTGTGCATCCACACTCGAGGCAGGAAAAAAGTGCATCAGTGTAACCAGGGCGTTGGCTGCAAAGGCTTTGGCAATGCCCAATTGCATGTTATGCCACAGGTCTGGCCTGTGAAAGCCAGGCTTATCCAATTGGTCGCACATAAGTAGCCGAGTGAAGCAGGACTCGCGGGTCCACGGCAATGTAGGCGATGGCATAGTGCTGAGGAAGGCCGGGGAGGAACTCCTTATTTTGGGTTCGCCATATCTTCTGGGATGAACAAATGCACTCGAAGCTACATCATTCGTGAATACTAAATCAAAACTGATGCACAAGTTGCACAAGTTGCACATCCTCGTATGGGTATCCATCAAACCCAGCATAGCAAAGATGGCAGACTCCGCGGTTGGGGCACTTGGAGTTTTCACCTTTAGGCCCATTCCTGTATGATCTGTTCAAGTTCGCGATATCCACCAAATAGGACCAATCGCCTTTATTGCCCAGCGGAGCCAACCATATTCGCCCTTGAGAAGTCTCGATCCCTTCGCGCCCAAGGCTGGAAAGATCAGTGACTACATGCTCAACTAATTGCTCGAGCCTCTCCGGTGTGTCCTGGTACTCCGATCGAAGCATCATGGCTGCGAGGAAGCGGGTGCTTAGCGAGTTTCCTTTGTAGTTCGGTTGCAAGTTCAGCTCGGCAAGGTTCTGGTTGATATCATTTGCAGATCGTCGGTTCCCCACTCCTTTTCCGAAAGCCACTTGCCACTGCAGCAGAAAGATTGCCTTCTTTTTCAACGTCCTCCCCTCGTCGGCGTGTATAAAGTATGGCAGTGTCCTAGACAACTGCAGCTGTTGGGAATCCGCCATTTTGAACACGTCGTGGTTCGGACATACAGCCCGGTAGCGAGACCAAAAAACATGCAAAGCAGGCTCAATGGTTTCAATACAAGAAGTACCAAAGATCATCTTCAAGCTGTTGGTTTTATCCATACAGCGGATGAAGTCGGTCGGCTTTATGAACGGAGACCGCTCATAATCTCCAGCTCTGCCTCTCGAGATGGTCACCGGCAAGGAAAGGCCATGCTTTCGCAGTGTCCCATAGGCAGCTCTAGCCTGGCAGATGCAATTCGAAGATCTCATCATGACATGATACGGTGTTTGAAACACACGGAACATAAAAAGGAGCACCCAATGAGGCAGCATTTTTGCTGAGGCACAGAATGTGTCCCACGTGCTTTAGCCAACTTCTTGATGACAGGGTCTGATGTGCGGATGCCCAGCTGCTCATCCCTAGCCGCAACAGATCGAGCAGTCTCCAAAACCCGTCGGCACGGAACCTTAAGTTGGAGACAATCTTCAGACTCAGCATTGCATCCTGCGACCCATCTCCAGTTCGACTAAGGTAGGAGCCCCCGAGCTGATCTGCGAAGCCAAATTTCGGGCAACCGGCGAGAGACCTGGCTGCTCGATGCGATTGAGAGAAATCGGTGCAAACTAATTTGCCCGGTGTACTTCGAATGTGATCGGATCTTTTGAAAGCCCAGCAGACATGTTCATGTCCCCAACATGGATCAGCTGGGAGTTTTCTGACTTCTGACACAAAACGAAGTCCAAACTAACACACTGCTTTCAGCAGTGAGTGACTCACTTCTTGGAGCCCCGGGGTCGCTTGCTCTTTCTGGCACTTTGGGTATCCGGGGCAGCCTCCTCTTCCTCTGCCGGCTCCGACTCTGCAGGGCGTTTGCTCTTCTTGCCCGCACTTTTTGCCTTGGCCTTGGGTTTTGGGTCGGTCTCGGTGGAATGCTTCTTGTGCTCGGAAAGAATCATCCTGAGTGTGGCAGAGTGCCAGCACACATGTAGATCAAGGAAGCAGGCCATGTAGAAACAGGTCATACATCAAGGCACTTGAAAGAACTCTCCTTCGCCAGCATCTTCGCACACCTAAGATTGCACTTGACGCCCAGGCTGCACTGCGACCCGATCTTCTGCGGCTGTGCGGCGGCGCACGTGCAGAGTTCTTGCACTTGTTGATCCTTGTCTGCAGCCTGAACAGAGCAGGCCATGGACTTAAATTCAATTCTAATGGGGGCTTAGGGCTGCTTAGGGCTGTTTAGGGATATCAGTGTTGCTGAGGTAGCAACTGGGGCGTGTAGCCATCGGTGTCGATAATTTCAAGACATTCGGCTATCTCCTCGGTCTGGGTCTCGAGTGCGGCCGAGATCGCAGCACAAGCAGTCTTGAACCTTGGCTTGTCAGGAATGTACAAGGGTGTAGTGCCATGAATTGGGTATTGAAGCAAGCAGCTGTTCCACATGGTCGGTGCTTTTGCCCTGCAGCTGGGACAGCCAAGACGACACTTGCACGTGCTTCTGGGTCAGGTTGTTGAGGTGCTTGTTGGCTTCCTCGCGAGCCTGCCAGTAGATAGGAACTATAGAGCACAATACTCAATAGTATCTACACAATCGTGCTGGCCTGCTCGGCGGGGGCAATGCCATCTGCAAGAGAAGCCTGTGTTGGCTTCCTTTTCAAAAGTGCAAACGACATCCCACCATCATCCTCAAAGCCCTCGCCATCACTGGCAGGGTCCTCATCCTGAGCCGAGCGAGAACATATCATAGAGAGGTAAAAACCGACCTGTAGATATGGTTGGCTTCTTATTGTAGTTAAGCAGCTGCATCCTTGAACTCGCGGGATTCGTGCATCTCGCTTTGTTTCAAAGTGGTCGTCTCACTTGTATCGACGAAATACTCCTCGATGCTGTCGTCGTATTTCCATTTCCTGCCCGGCACCGAATGTCGAAGTATGGGCATTGTTCTATCATGATAGACAGTAGCAACAGCCTGGCCTGATTAATGTTTGAGGAAACCGGCGGCAGTACTGGATGATCTTCGTGATGAGGTGCCTCGGCTGAGCCAGTTGGAGGGTAGTGGGCCGCGATGGTTTAGTCATGAGGGCAAACCGAAATTAATTCAGGGTTTAGGGGCTTAGGGTTCAAGGTTTATAAAGGGTTTAGGGTTTAATTTATACAGCTCAATCGCATGAACCCCAAGCCCAGACCCTTAGGGTGTTGATATGATATAGTTGAAGACTTCTGTGGTGCTTTTATATCGAGTAGCAATCAATAAAGAAGTTAGACTAGATACTCGGGCAGCTTGAGGTCGGTCTTCATTCTTTCCTTGGTCAACCAACAACCAGTGATGACTTTCTCTTTGGTCTTGACCCGCACAGTCACCTTCGCCACGAAGGTAGCCTGGACAGGGGGTGCATATAGTACATATAGGAGACAAAAGCATCATATCTGTTTTCAACGATTTGGAAAGAGGACGGCCTTGATCTTGTTCCTTGTCTCGAGGTTGTTCGTGGTGCCATGGACTTTCAGGGATTCGAGAAGGCTAAGGGTTAACACTTCCCTGTCGGCTCCACCCTTTTGCCACAATTCCCTTATCCATGGATCAACGGCACACTTCCCTGTCTTCTTCTTCTCCTCGCACATTCGCCGAAGTCGGGCATCGATGGCCTTCGGACTCAGCTCCTGCGAAGAGACCACATGGGCTTTTGGGCCTTGGGTCTTTGTAGGGCTTGAGGATTTTAGGGTGTAGGATTTTCGGGGTTAGTTTTTTTATCGAGACGATGGTTCCAGGTTAAACAAGACTTGATGTTCTATAGGCTTTTAGGTTTTTAGTGATTCAGGGAGATAGGCTCTAACGGTCCTCGGCCGAGACATCGAAACGAGCATTCAACTTGTCCCGATTTTCCGACCTGAGGCTCTTGACGGCAGCAGCCTCCTCGGCTGGAAGGTCCTTGATCTTGTCTTGGAGCGGCTCAGCTTTGGCTGCTGGGGTCGGGTCGGCAGGGGAGGTCGGATTCAGGAGCTTTGCCAGTGCAGCTTCAAGCTCTGCAATCTTTCGCCCTTGTTCGGCTATCACAACTGACTCTGCACTTGTGGTCGGTGTTGTGCTTGTAGGAGTCGGCGGCATCGTGGTCGAAGCGATTGGCTCCTGTAGATTTGCAGCATGCTAACACTGGAAAACCAGAGACCAGAAGCAGTCCTCAACCAAGGCTCTCTGGTCGGGCTTGTTGCTGAGGGCATTCACCTGCTGGACCGGACCATTTATGTTGATTTGGGTTGTGTGTGTGCGGGGCACTGGCCTGTTCTGCTGATCTTGTCTTCACGGTCGTGGCTGCCTCAATAAGAAGCGAATCGTGTTGATTTGCACACACACACACTATGTGCGACTTGAGCGGCTGTCTGGTGGAGCTCACCCATCTTCCGATATGATTCCTAAGATTCAGACAATGTACATATGTTTATAAAAGGCAAGAACCTGACAAGCATACCTCGAAATTGCACAAACGAGCTTCTTCGAGCATCCTGTCTAGCTCTGAATCGCTCATGGAGGACAGATCCTCTGCTTTGACAGCGAAGGTCGTCATGGTGGAGCTCGGATGCACCGGAAGCACTGAGCCTGTTTGAGTTGCGAGAACACGGCTTTCCTTAGTGTTTTTATGGGTTTCTTTGGGGTTCCATCTACGGTTTTCTACGCTATTCTACGCGGTAATTGCGCTTTTCCTCGGGGTTGGTACGGTTACGCTTTTTCTTGGGTGGGGCTGTTATGGTTTTCTTTGGGGTTTCCCTGGGTTTCTCTGGGGTTGGTATGGTTTTCTTTGGGGTTGTGTTCGGTGTTCATAAGGCTCTACCATTGAGCTATATAATATGAAGTATTGCAACCAAACGAGGCTTGGTTTGGGTTTTGGGGTTTTTTGTCTGTCGAGATACGAAAACGTAGCCGCGAGGCCTCTGTCCCTCCTAAAGCCTATTATAAGCCCAACCTCCAAAAACCCCCCCCTATATACCCCTAAACCTATAGACCCGGAAACCCTATAATCCAGAACCCCCGAACTGCCCCATCCGTATTCTGAAGAGTCGAGGAAGTCCAGCAGTTCTGCTGGAAGCCCACACACACACACATATATATATATATTCATTCTTTTTTATAGACTATATATAATAGTGTGTTACATATCTATAGAGTGTGTGTCGCTGTGAGGGCCCGCTTTT